ATCAGACGGATCGCTTACAAACGCTCAATCAGAAATTGCCGTTCCTCGTCGAGGCGATTGGACCCCTCCGAAAGCCAATGAGTCGATTATTCTTGACTCCGATTCTGATTCCCGAGAGGTTTTCTCACCGGCCGGGAAAGCGCCAGTGTCAAAAGATGTATTCCAAACATTATACAACCAATATGGAAGACAGGATTCAGATCTATCACCAGAGCCGTGTCCACAGCCCCAAGCCGGGCTGCTTAAGAAACGAAAACGGATCGAGATGATATCTACCGGTCAAGAAGAGGCCAAGAAACAACCCCGCGAGGAAATTCCGTCTAATGATTTACCACAGTCAAACGAGCAAAAGCAGCGGAAGGCGCCTAAAGAACCCGCCCCGAAAAAGAAGACGAGGACAATCACTGAGCTAGCAATAGCTCCTTTTGCAGCACCAGTTTCGCCTAACTTTGATCTCGCGGGACCGGCAACTAAGGAGTCAATGTTGGACTACTTCGATGCTGATGGTGCCGTCAAAGCACTAGTTGAGCACCAGTCGGCCGTCATGTCTCAAAGGAAACCCAAGGCCAAAGAGACGAAGCAGCCACCTAAGACAAAACGGAAGAAGAAAGCTGGAACGCAAGCCAACCCGATTTTATTGTCTCCAAGCTCTGCATTAAAACAGTCTTCAAATCAAGACTTTGTTTTTGGAACATCAAGCCAACTCATGCAAGAAGATTCCCCGACGACGTTGAGGGACCTTCAGGCTGCCATTCGCGCATCCAATACCTTACACTCCGACCCTTTTGATGAAGATGTCGGCCGACGTTTATGGCAAGCTGGCTCGCGTGACGAAGGCGGAGAGCTAATGGGAATGGACATTGTTGACTTGCAGCACAGCTCTACCATCATCACGGAACCAAATTCAACCGCCACGCCAGGTGATCGAAGATTCGTTGACATCGATGATTTACTAGATTCGCCGCGGCCGATTAGTCCAATCCTCGAGAAACCTATAGAGCCGGAGCAAGCGAATACCTATTCTCTTCAATCGCAGAGCACGAGGCATGATTCAAACGCTAAGTTCCCAGAGTCAGAAGGCTTAGTGAATACAACAATCACTACCCCCCGCCCTAATTACGAGTTGTTCACGGATGCTCAACTTAGTAAGCAAATTATATCGTACGGCTTTAAACCAGTGAAGAAGCGTACCGCGATGATTGCCTTGCTGAACCAATGTTGGACAAGTAAACATCCAGGTACATCAACTAGTTCGATACAGCCTTTATCGACATCCACTCGTAGCCCACCCCTGGAACAACAGAAACCTGCTGCGGATGCGCCGAGCAAAGCACCTGCGAAGCCGCGTGGACGTGGGAGGTCAAAGAAAAACAACGATACTTCAGCATCGGTTGCTCAACCAACTCTATTGGATAAGCCAAGTCCCAAACGCTCGCGCGGTGGTCAAAATGATAAGACCACTTCCACTATGACAGAACCTCGTGTCTCCGCGTCAAGCCCTAAACGGCCGCGTGGTCGTCCCAGAAAGTCGAGTAATATCTCCATTGAGATCCCAGACTCTGAGAATGAGACTCCATCGCCAATGTCATCACCTGATCCACTGTTTTCTTCACCTCCTCCATTAGATCTTACGATATCAGATGAGGGTGATATGTCTCTAACATTGTCGCCTACGGATCAACAGACAGACTTATTCAAACACATTACCAAGGCCGTGACCTCCGCACCCCGTTCACAAGACCCGTCAAAGCCGTCATGGCATGAGAAGATGCTTCTTTACGACCCCATTATACTCGAAGAGCTCGCATCTTGGTTAAATGGCGGCGAATTGACGCGCGTAGGATATGATGGGGAGGTGTCTCCGTTTGATGTGAAGAAGTGGTGCGAGAGCAAGAGTGTCATCTGCCTATGGAGGCAGAACCTCAACGGGAAGGAGCGGAAACGATATTGATACACGAGTCATGAGCTAAATGTTGAAGTAATTGTACAACAGGATACCCTTTTTACTAGAGCAAGCGAAAATTGACGAGTTACATCGAAGTTATTGCTATAACATATCTACTCATATTAAAACATTACTTACGACGACCGAAAACTTGACAATAACCGTTACGGGAATAGGTTACTAGCGAGGTCTCTACTCTACTGTTAATTTAGCATGCTGGCAATAGTCATTCTGTCGCTCTTAGTTTCGCCCGGTAAAACACCACTCCCGGTCCTTCGAGAACCTTTATTGTTTATGGGAGCAGGCTCGCTTTCCACCTTCGCTGGGGAATCAACCGAAGAATTTAATAATTGTCTTGCCGCTCTATTTGCCTTCGCCCTTTTCACACATGGACCACACGTCTTGACTGGACTGTCTGGATCCAAATCCTTGCCACAGTTGTAACAACGACCTTGTGCGAAAAGATTCTCGCTTCTTTGCCTCAATTTGGTTCTACAAGCCAAACAAGTACGGTGGCTGGTATTCTCCTCCAGTGGCTTGCTACATCTGACACAGCAATTAAATTTTAGACGGTGTTCGCGCTCTTCACAACGCTTGGTTATACAGGTCCAACAGCTACGACCTCGAGTGGCCTTCCTGCCGCACTTACATAGCCCTTGCTCTTTACATAACCGACGTCTGTTCTTGTTTCTTACCAATTGCTTTTCCAATTGTTTTTCGTAATGTTCAAGGTGGACCTGGCAATAACCCCTATTGACGCCAGGTTTGGTGCACCAATATCGTTTGCAGATCACTGGTTTCTGCTGGTCGATCGAACTTGAAGCCATAGTGATTGTTGGTTTGAAGGCAGTCTGTGTATCTGAGGTCTCCGAACATCTTGGCCCTTTTTCATCTCGGGGGAAATAAATAAATATCTGTCGTTAGTCAATCTCACAAAGCCTATTATAATGGCAATAATCCCTTTGTTTACCAGACGCTTTCTTTGACGCATCTCGAACTTTCTTTGCGCAGAACAGATATCCCTATTAAAACAAAGGAAATAAACATGGCGATTTTATGGTAGGCACCATGTCCATAGGAGCCTAGTGGGGGCCTCATAGGTGAGTATATCATAGATATTTGGCTATAGAAAGGTCTGAGTCCCTCTCAACCAATTGAGAGAAACTCAGGAATTAATAACGTTGAGTCCATGCCCCTACGTCCGACCTAGTAACGACCTACCAGTAGCTCAACTTCACTCTTTGTACACCATATACTCTGATATTTTGACGATCAAACAAGTACCTCCAACATGTCCTTATGTATTAAGAAAGAATGCAATTTATTACTTCATTACGCTCTGTTAAAGTCCCGTAGTTGGCCAACCTTGATACCGAGGTCCTTAGCATATCTAGGTCTCTATTATACCCTTAATTTAACATGCTGGCAATGGCTATTCTGCTGCTCTTAGTTTCGCTTGGTAAATTACTCCCAGTACGCGGAGAACCTCTATATATGGGCTCGTTTTCTATCTTTGGTGATAGTGGCGGGACAGCGGTATCTTCGGCGGAAAGCAAGTATGGACCGTTTGCTTCGTAATATCCGATCAAATCATGATGGTAATCGAAATTCGAAGACGGTTGCCAGATCGGTTCCCTGTCCCTCCACTTTAGAAGATACTCAGAATCGCCTAAGGGGGTCGACCTATCGTGCAGTACACCCTCAAAATGCCATCGCATCTGCGGGTTCTGCCCGAGAGAGTATGCTGAAGCAAGCAGCGGATTATTGTTAATCTGATCCTGCTCCTGGAATGGGTTGGGGGCCTTCCTTAGCTGAGAGTGGTGGGACTCTGGGGAAAAGGGAAAATCGTCCGAGATGTCGGGGAGGCAATTTCGGGTGCAAACATTCTTGGCCGCTAGAGAATCGACCTGGGAATCTGATGGTGGCTCTGCTATAGCTGCTTCATCCTTTCTTCTCGGCTTCTTTTTCCCATAATTAGTGAACCTACAAAGAGCACACCTCTTAAATGTAAACCTTGAATCTAGCTCTCTTCCGCAAGTGCAACGGCCTGCAGCCGAGAGACCCTTCCTTATCTGCCTCTTTCTAGTCCTACAATGCAAGCAGACAAGGTAATTATCCTCTAGTGGCCTGCCGCATCTGCAGTGATTATTTTCTTTGCGAAATTTCCGCTTTTCATGACGCTTGGCTGTGCAAGGTGGGCAGATGCCATCTTGGAAAGGCTTTCTGCAGTTGGGACACATACCTCGCGCTTTCAGGGAATGATAGGAGTTCCTTTGTGCTAAATTCTTTTCGTGCCTTTCTAGGTCCAGATGGTACTGACAGTAACCCTTTCTGACTTTGGGTTCGTTGCAGCTAGCCACTTTGCAGAATACTCGAGCCATAGTGGTTATTGGTTTGAAGGCAGTCTTTCCGGATGTGTGACGTTTCCTTAGCATTTTGCTCTGGGAGAAGGAATAAATATCTATCGGTAGTTTACAAAGCTTATTATAACGACAACAATAACCTTGTTTTATCAGATGTTGTCTTTGATATACTAGGAACCTTTTTTGTACAGGTGGTATCCTTTATTTGATTGAAACAAAGGAGGATGGATGCATCGGACTTTGCCGATTTGACGGACACTATCGACCTTTTTCTGCTCTTTTGGAGGCCTGCAATTGGCAAACCTGCTCATGAAGCGATGGTCTATGCTATCCATTGGATGCGGTGCTGTCTTTGTATGGATCGGACGGCTGAGACTAACCACTAAGTGAGATTGCGACACAGACAACACATTAGAAGAGGCGCTGCTCGCTCCCTCTAGGTGCATGAACATAGCTTATATGAACAACATCTACTACCACACGAGAGGAACCGCACAAAATGATCAGGTGGTTCCTGGCCTTTTCATACGCTGTTGATTTATCTTTTGCTTTGAATGGTTGTGCCCACTCCCCCTGTGTCCAAAACTTTTATAATCAAAATAGTTATCTCAAATCACCAAAGCACTTCGCACACGAACTCAAAAGAAAAGTAAGCAAAATAGAAACAAGTCAGACAAAATAAAATGAAACATTGCGAGCTGCAGGATTCGAACCTGCGCGGTTTCCCACTGCGGATTTAAGTATAAAGTATCCAGTACACAGCCTGGATGACCTAAACACAGCGCCTTAACCAACTCGGCCAAACTCGCTCACTATTGGACGTAGTTGCGCATGACTCAATATAAATACCTGATCAGACTATGAAGGTCGTTATATATTAAACTAGTCCTTAATATAAAGCATAAAAGGTTCAGCTAAAACAAAGGGTTTAAATTTATATAACAAGAATTATTATATAATATAAGTTAATTATAAAACAAATCATCAAGTATTATTTAGTTATTATTTTTTATTGAAGCAATATATAGCTAGAACTCATCATTAAGGCCCTGGAGTATATGTGTTAGTGGGGGTTCTACAAGACCCCGCAGTGACAGCATAGAGGCTTGTGTGGTGGCTGCGCCCCACACTAGCCCTACCATACTGCCATTCACACTGACAGGAATACTGCCAGCTTTTGCCGCCTGTATTCACTGTGTTGTGCACGCATGCGAACACTTACACCTGTGTGTAATTCTGTAGAGTGGTTTCTTTTCTTCTTTTTTCGTCAGCTTTGATTCTTTGTACAATATAACATATATTGCTGCGGAGCCCTGCCTTTGTTTGTGTGCTTAGTGTAACACCTGCTTAGCTAAAGCGTAATCATTTAAGCAAAATTCACAACAACTAAGTAAGTGACCCAGCTTTATTCACACATCTCTAAGCCATTGGTTAATTTTGCTTTGTGTAAGCAAAATTAAAAAAGGTATCATGGAGGACAGGAAGGAAACAAAAGAAACAATGCATCAGCCGTGAATCGAACACGGGGCCCATCGATGGCAACGATGGATTTTACCACTAAACCACTGATGCAGGAGTATGTATGATGATCTTGATGCCACTGCGCCTTGTAATGAAATGAGTGTGACAATAGTTAGCATGAGAATATGTTCCTCTAGAGGTTCACTTGCTTTTAGCTATCTCCGGGCTTACTATATCTAGACTCATTTACACCCAAGCATGTCCTATGTGAGATCGCGTTAGTGTATTTGCAAGAACCATTATATAATTTACTCAGGGGTCTAAGGCCTCGGGTAGGATCATGTGTCAGGACCATAACATGAACTTAAAGAGCACCCTGATCTGAAATTGTTCCGTGCTGGCACTTGATATTCATTTTCTAGAACAGGTGGTTGTAGCTAAAGACAGGAATGCTTCGTACACGCGGAGCCCAGACTTCACCTCTACTCAGTTAAACAGTACCTTTCGGCAGAAAGATGGGACACTGGCTCAATATTAAGGCTAGACTTAACTGCTTGTGCACTTTGAATGTGTAAGGTGAATACATCGCTGCTTACTTGGTTGCTTCTACTGTTTCCCGCGATCTGCAGTAGTAGGTTGAAGTTAGTGTTGTGAATGAAATCATCTCATAACTTATTAAGACTCTTCAAGAACAAATTATGCAGTATCTCCTTATACTTTTTGCCGATATATTCTCGCTCTTGTATTATGCACTTCTTAGCAAGTTCGTTGAGACCAGAGATTAATCAAGGCGATCCTGTTAGATCTATAGCTTCAATTCCTCCGTCCATCTCAACTTCGACTCCTTCCTCTTCCTGTTCGTCGCACTAAATAATTAACAATTAATTATTTCTCTCGTTTTCTTTCGCCTAAATGGTAACTGGGGCGATAACATACTCTGGATCTAGTTTGTCTCTTTCTCCGTTTCTTAATCTTCCTCATCTTATGCTTAACTCGCTCAAGTTTCTTCTGGGTAATCCGACGGTCTGTTAGGAGTTGCTCGCGCACTGATCGAAGCTCCTCTAGAACCTCCTCCTCAGTACGAACACCCATATCCATGAGAGCATCTTGACGATTGGTTAGTATGAGTGGCGTAGAAGACCGATAGAGGTGTAGTAGAAAAACAAACCTCGTGAGCGGTAATGGAAAATGAATACCGCGAATGGTCGTGGGTCTTTATCCAGGAAATTGTCGTAGTACTCTATTTTGGGGTTCTCGATTTTGTCGCCTATTTCTACCCTGTGGGGAATATTAGACATGCGTACTGGGCATGATGATATACACGACACGCACCCAAGACAGTGAGAAAAGCTCCGTCCACATAAAGCCTTTTCGCTCATAATGTTTTCGCATTCGATCCTCTCGAAATCGAATTGGTCGTTGATCTGCTGTTTATGTCTTTCCATATGGTAGACCTCAACTCGAATTGTGCCTACACTGCTAGTCTGTGAATACCCGATGCCATTATCTTCAACTACGACACAGTCAGTAAAGGTAGGAGCAATCATGAGTGAGATGTGCACTTGCCGCGTGTTAGGTTCTTAAAGCAGAATCGTTGTGATATCTATTCCCACTTGGTGCCTACCACCACGCTATCAACACCATCTTCCCAATCCTTGTAGATGAGGCCCGGTGGCTGGTGGCGGAGTTCAAGTTCAGTGTCATCAAATTGTACACTATACGCAATATGGTGACCGTCTTTTGGGAGAGCCTGCGTCTTCTCGAATTGCACGGTAGGGTAGGTACCAGCTTCAATTTCAATGTATTTTGCGACGTGACCATGGTTGATGTTTCGTCTTCGATTTGGGGCAGTGCGGTCTTTTTTCCGTTTCTTCAGTACTGGCGGAGGTGGAATATCGCTTGAGCCTTGTGGTACGTCATATTCCTTCAGAGGCCTACCTTCCACCTCTACGTAAACCTTTAGGCCCGGACCTCCTTGGATAATTGCCATTTGGGTTTTGGAAGTGTTTTTAGTTGGATGATTTCCCGAAAGCAACTCTGGGAGCAAGGAAGGGACTATGGGAGGTTCAGTCAGTGCTGCGAGTTGAACGTGGTTTACCTTAAAAAACGAATGTTGACGCAATTTCATGATGGAGTCACTCGTGCCGACATGATTTGAGACGACAGGCCAGTTCGCATAGTCGAGGGGGTATATTGATGTATGATGAGGCAGAGTGAACTAAGAGGTGCGGAAATACTTACCGAAGTACGAGAAAGAGGAAAGACAGATATAAATGAAATTTCACCCCGAGAGCTGTAATGTAAAGAGGTAATTAGTGAGTAACGGTGAGTATCGAAAGGCGGGCAGTGTTGGTGAGTGGTGAGTGTTGAAAATTAAAAAATTACGTAACTCCAGGTGGGCGATAGGCCTCAATGTAGAGAGAGGAAGGTTGAAACACTAGTAATTTCCTCAACTTACATAGATTTATTATCGAAAAGGAACAAACGACCGCCTCAGCATTTACCATAGATAGCCGAGACTATATTCGTGTGGATGCTCTTGTCTGTTTTCTGCTTTGAATAACAGAGCAGCGCTTCTTTCGTGAGATGGTTCCTTACCGAGATATTAGACACCGAAATAGTGGTGCTATATGAAAAGTTGATAATCTGCCGAAGAACAGGCGAAGGTTAAATTGGCTGGGCATAGGTCTCGGAGGAATGAGGTAAGTGCGATGATGTGGCTTCGAAAAACTGGAAAGATTTCTTTGAGTTGATGTTTTAGATAGACTGCACTCAAGCAGAAGTTCGCTTCGGACGCATTATTATCACGAATCAGCGGGAGCGTATCGTGCTTGCAATGTGCTATTTATTGTTCGGCAGATATAAACTACAGAAAATAGTGAATAAGAGCTGCAGTAGTGACAACGCCTGACTTTGTTACTCTAAGGAGATACCGCTAGGGTCAAATGCTACGAAACTACTTGCCAGTAATATGATGGTATATGAGAGTCTTCTCAGTCCCAAATATTTACACAGAAAAAAAAAACCAAAAAAACCGATAACTCCTGTCTTATGCACAACCTAAGAAGTGTGAATCCTCCATAGCTCTCTTGGGTGGTCTGTGCTGAATGAAGTCCTAGTATGTAGCATAGCAAAGTTATCGGAAACTAGAATGTCTCCTTCCTGCCACGAGAAACGAAGACATACGCGACGATCAAATAATAGGCTATCGATCAGTGGGATCAAACTCTGAGATCCATTATCGATGCTGATGTCTGCGAAACCATAAGCGGTTCGCCACCTTGGCCAAGGTTGATGCCAGCGAATGCAGGGTGAGTTTCGGGTTGGATGTCGAACTACCAATGGGATATCTTCCATGATATGGTGAAAGAATCCGTGACTACGACACGTCCACTTGATCTTTTCAAGCTTGTTGATGTTGTAGGCTTGCGGTAGGTACCGGGCGAAAAGATCCGAGGATGCGAAGAGCGTATAGCCATCTCCTGGCTGAGCCGCAGATTGCGACACGAAATATTGGAAGTGAGGAGTGTCCGATACTCTCTTCTCTTTGCCTGTCTTCTCATCCTTGATTGTGATTATCTTGAACATGCCGTCATAATGCATGGGCATTGCTTCGGCCGACACCACTACAACACTCGAAGTTAGTTACCTGGATTTGAGATTGATGGAAGAGTAAGAAATCTTGTAAGAGGAAATGTCTTCCTTGACCATTCTCCTCCGAAACAGGATAAAATAGAACAAAAATAAAGGCACTGATCGAATATAACATACCGCTGTTACTTTGAGGGTCGTTGTTGGACTCGTCTTTGACCTCTTGAATAACCCCTGATTTCCAAGGTAACACCGGGCCAAGGTCGTGTGCTTTGGCAATAAACGTGCGGCGATCTTTTGTGTTGGAAAAGCCTCTTAGGACAACAGGAGAGCAAGTCATGGCAAGTGTTCGAACCTTCTGCATGTCCACCATAGACAGTGGATAGACAGAAGTCGGACTGGTTGGTCGAATGATGATGCCACAAGGATACATGTACTCGAATGTGACCTCCATAGAGGGCCAGTCGAAGACTTCTGATCGCTCGCGAAAGTAGCTTGGACGCCCGTCAACGTGTATTACATCATGCGTCATAGCGGGGACCAAGATTGCGTGTGACATGGAAACGCGCCCGTCTACGTCCCTAACTAAAGCACCGTGCCAAGGAGTCATGACAATCTCGTTATCCTGAGGTAGCATGGTGATCGACACCTTTGCTGTATCGTTTGAGGGATGGATTGAAAGACGAACAGAATCTGGATACTTGAGTTTCACGGTCTCGGCAAAGGCCTAGGGGATAGTTCAGCTGGAATAATCGTC